CTCCCTTCTGCAGCTCATTCCTGTGACCAAATCCTTTGCCAAGCCAGAGTGCTCAGGAGGAAGATGGTGCTTACTGGAAAAACCCAGGTGGTTTGAGAGTGTTTTTACTCAAGGAGATCATTGATGTTGTTTGGAATGCTACCATAAGTTAGCAGTCTTGGGAAAAGGGACTGCCCAGCTGGGGACCCTTTGGACCATCTCAGTTACACCTCTTTTAAGATTTTAGTTTCACAGCATCAGGCCTAGGAAGAGGTTGGTCAGTGGAAGCTGTTTCTGCTGGAGACAACAGATTTGGGGCCCACACAGCAATGAAAAAATGGTTTGGATTTGGCTGGAGGCATAAGAATTATGTTGGCAGGCAGAGAGAGGCTTCAATTCAACAGGTAAGGAAACAACAGGGTGATTGCAAGCAGCTGTTACTGGCTCAGTAACAAACAAAAGGGAGATTCTTAGGATCAGTCCTAAGCAGCAACCCATGGAGAGAGCAGCAAAGGCAGCTTTCAAGTCTCTGCCACCTTTATCTCACTGCAGTTGGCACCACAGCCAGTCCCCAAGGACAAGGACCAACATCCCCAGCACTGACTGAGGAGCTCCAGGATGGCCAGGAGTGCAGCCTGCCATGCCAACTCCCCACTGGGAGAATTGGATGGGATAAATCCCATCTGGCCAGGCTCTGCAGTGGGTCCAAACCGCTGTAGAGCAGTTGGCAGTGGCAACAGTGGGTGCTGGCAGGAGCAGCCACAGCTCTCTGGTCCATTGGGGATGGTGTGCTGAGCTGAGTGCATGTGGATACAGGTAAGCAGCCTTGCAGGAAGAGCAATAGGACATCACTTCCAAGTGCTACGTGAAGGATTGGGATGTGGCACATGGGAGGAGGCCAAGAGAAGTGGCCTTGACTCCAGCCAGAAGTGGAGGGAAAGGTGTGTGGGGGTGCTGCAGCGTGTGGGAGAAAAGGAGGAATGAGAGGAATGAATGATAGGATCAGAGCAGAGCTGGAGCTGCCCTGCTCCACGGGTTTCAGCGTACACCCTTGCCCTCGGCCTGCTGCCGCTTTCTGTCTCGTGCAAGCAGTGGCTGCTGAGGTGCTTTCCTTGCCAGTTCTGCTCCAGGCAGTGCCTGGGAGGAGAGGTGGGAGCCTTGGTCCAGGGTGGTCCCGGGAAAATTGAATTTACTAATCCAGGTGTACACATTCTGTCCCGGGGAGTTGGCAGTTCTGGCAGGTGTTCAAACCAATTCCCGCTCCCTGGTGGGGTGGGAGGCAGGCACAGGAAACCACAGCTCCCCATCCAAGCCCAGGCCCGATTCTGGAGGGCACTGTGGTGAGCAGGCTGGATGCCAGCACAGTACTGAATCACCAATCATTGAAACACAGGAAAAGTTGCATGAGCAGGACTTTGGTGAAAGCAGGGAAACAGGATATGAAGGAGATCGTCAGCAATAATGCAATTAGGCCTTGTTAAAGCATTGAACATGTGAGGACCACACTTGTAGGGTTAATCCCACTCTCCTAAAAAAAAATGGTATGAGGGCTGAATTGAGCCCAATGAAGTATCAGGCAAATCCTGCTCACTTGAAAGACCAGGAGCAGAGGAACAGCTGTGCTCAGAAAGTGGCAGGAACTCTTTTAACAGCACCACACCCACGTCTGTGGCTGCAGCTTTTGTGATGGTCATGTTGCTTTTAAGGGAGGCAGGAGAGAAGGGGGAGTGGGGGTTTGGTGTGGTTTTCTGTTGACAGAAATGCAGACACTGTACATTTCCAGTAAAGAAGGACCCCAAGTCCTTTTTGCTGAACTGGATTTTCTCCTCCCACACCACCAGAGCCGTATCGGCAGGGAAGCCCTGGGACAATTTGCATTCATTCATTTACTGCAGAGACCAACTTTTCACCATTCTCAGGGCACAGTGACCCCAGAGGCCTGTTTGGCTCAGCCTTGTCTCCCCCACCTGCCAGGAGACAGGAGCCAGCAGAGCAGCACAGCCAGGCTCCCTCCCTGTGGGCAGCTGGTGAAAGAAAAGGGACAAGCTGAATTCTCCCCGTGTTTGCACTGTATTGGTGCAGCCCTGGAGGCATCTGCTGTGTTTGTTTCGGGTACGGGCTCCTCCCCAGGGCTGTTCTGGCTCCTGCTAGGAGAGGGAATGGTGCATTCTTATGCTGTTGATTTATGATCCCAATTCCCTCTCACTGTGCTCATTTTCTTTCTCAAAGTACATTCTGCAAAGCTTGAGAAAAAAACCCCATATGACAATTGAAAGCAGTTTCTACAGAAGAGTTTCCTGCAGGAATCCTGCCGTGGCCTTCAGTTTGCATGCTAGGCAATGTCATGTGGAAAAGATGGCTTTACCCTGATGGTGTCCCTTAAATCATGATAGAAGCTGAGACATTTATAGCTCAGCCTGTGCACAGCATCTGGAGTCCCCTGCCCCCTCGTTGTCATGTAGAGCTGTGTCCCTACAGATGACCAAAGTGCTGCAACCTCTGTCCATTCCCACACCTGTTGGAATACTTATCTTTCTAAAACCCCACCAAATTGTACAACGAGCCACATGCAGAAGGTTTATTTTGACAGACCATCCTCAGAAATACAGCAAATGCCTCAATGGATGGGTCTTCCTGTTCCACTGTTCTGCTGCATCAAGTTTTCCATGTCTCTCCTATTACACTGGATCCTGTGATTCATGTTATCCCCCCTCCTTTTACCCAGGCTAAATTTGTCCAAGGTGGCCTGAGGCTACAGAGCCGATGCCTGCACAGCTTCTCCTCCCACATTGTGGAGAGTGTTTTGTTCTGTATTTTTGTATTTCCTACCTTCCCTTTCACTGACTAGCTATGAATGCCATGATAATTGCTCCAAATCCCCAGTCCCTGATGGGATCATCCTCACAGAGTCCCAGTCAACACTGGTCACCCCTCTCTGACTCCTACCAGATGTTGCAGCATTTACAGAGGCTGCCTGACCCCAGCAGTCCCCTGGTGCCCCTGGTTCAGCAGCCTGGAGACCAGCAGTGGTTTGGTGCAGCTCTTTTTCCTCTCTCCAGCTGTTATTCACTCCCCAGTGGAATACAGGGGTATCCAGACTCCTTTCTCCTCCCTGTCCCCTCCCTGTAAATTCTTTTTCCTGTACCCTGCCCCAGCCTAACCCACAAAACGAAGACCCAATGCAGAATTTTACAGGAATGCATTAATGAGCACCATTTCTGACCAGCTGCTGGTTTGTGTTATGTAGGAGAGGCACTATGGCTGGGATGAGCCGAACCACACCTGAGCTTTACCGACCCAGCACAAGGAAAAGATGATCCACAAGACGATGGCAGCAGGGAGGGATCAGCCACTGTGGCACTGAGGGCCAGTTCTGCTATTGGCTGTGTAAGCTGCAGCTATCAATGAATGAGCATTTTGGGTGTGGTGGTGTGGCTGTGCCCGCCCCTCCAAAATGCGGTGCTTGGTGTAAATGCCCCTTAATGCGCTAAGGCCACAGCCCTTGGGAATTCTGACACGTGAGTGCTGGAGAGCTGAGCAAGCCTTGAGCTCTGTGACAGATGCACTGCGCCTGTCCGAGCCCGCTGCTGCTTCCCGACATCTAGAGCCGGAGCACCCCCGTGCCTGCAAACGCGGCAAAGGCAGCACACGGCAAAGGCAGCATCGCTTCTGTGCAGCCTCGGAGCTGGAGAGCCAGAGGGACTCACACTGTCCCAAGCAAAATCAGATTCTTCCCAGAACTGCTCTTTGCAGTGATAAAAGCAAGAAGCAGTCAGCCCGAAGAGGAACACTTCTGGAAAATGCATCAGCCCTGCCATGCCCGTGCATCCTGCTATCAACTAGGTGTGTGCCAGACACTGCCTGCTTGTCAGAAACAACCCCTGATGAGGTCAGGGGGCACCTTTTCTTTCTTCAAGGACTAATGATGTGAAAAGATGATACAAAATCTGACTGGTTTTGTTCAGCTCCTGTGCTTTATTAATAGCAGTGCTAATGCAGGAAGCCCCTGGGCCTTAAACCACTAAGGAAATCAGTGGGACACGCTTGTCTGTGGATGGTCTCAACTCAAAATTTCCCACTTATGGTCTATTTTTTCATTTAATGTTATTGAAACAAGGAAATACCACCAAAAGCCCAGGTGCAGATTTTTATTGGTCTGTGCCAGGAAAACAAACAAGGAATGCTAACACTGCTTTCTCACTCAAGCTTCTCTAAATAATCAGAACAGAAAAATTAGCTAATGAAGTCCAAAGCAAGTTGGGGAGGGAGTGGAGGGAGCTGCCACACTAAAATGTATACAGAATGATTCCAGGACAACACTGCTGGCGGGCAGCAGGAGGGACAGCCCAAGGGAGAGAGAGGGTTTTCCATTCAGGGTGCCCTGAAAAAGCAAATATAATGTGCTTCCCTTTCCCTCACCATGCTCCAAACTCAAATCATAGAGGGGAAAGGAAACCCACCTCACTCATCTTCTCTCCTAGGAGGCTGTGGGATCCTTGTGGAAGTCTTGTCCAAGTTCACGTGCAACTGTGGCAGGGTGAGTGCTGTCAGCTGCACTTGGTCCAGCAGCTGTCCCAGCAGGAGAATCCTCATTTCTCTCGGTGGCAGATGTCTCCTGATGCAGTGCCAGATTAGCCAGAGCCCTCTCTGTGCCCCTGTGGATGATCTGATGAGCAGCGTAGATGTGTTTTCTTTGGGACTGCCTCACTGCATAAAAAGAGGTAAGGCTTTTACTTGGAAATGTACAGCAAAGTGTTCTCTGTAGGGGAGAAGGGAGGAGTAGCTTTTAGCAATCCTGCAGCTGTGGAAAAGTCTGTCTCAGGGAAAAAAATCATGTCCTTCTAACTTTGGCAGAAAGTGTTCTACTGCCACCTAATAGCAGCAACCAACTTTGCATTTCACTTTGAAGACTGGCCCCCACAGACAGTGGGAAGCACAGCCAAAGTGTTCTCCTTTCTAGCTTTGGGAACAACTGGCCAGGATATATTATCAGCCTTTAAAATAACTTCTCCTTCAGTGTCTGTTAATTGCAGCAAGCCTCTGGAAGAACCCAGCTGAAATCTGCCATCTCCTGTGCCAGGATTTGACCTGCACTGAAAAACCCTTACTGAGTTCAAAGTAAGACTTGGAGCCACAAGTGACATGTGAAGTCACCTGCTTATCTTATCACCTCCCCTCAGCTAGTGCATCCAAAGTCATTTGTATGTATTCCCAACCCACCTCCTGGGAAATAATTAGCCAAGCCTAAGTGCTCACCTACAGCTCTCCTTATTGCTCCTCACTGTTCTTTGTTCACTCTTTCCATCTCTATTTCAGTCACAGGGACTGAGGTACTGTGTGCCTTACAGAGGGTGTGAGGAATGATGCAGAACAAGGGGTGGCTCTCATCCTGTCACTTCCCTACACAAGTCCAAGGCTTACTTTGGCCTGTTCCAAGGCTGAGCTGCACTTAGACTGTGAATCTGAAGCACTGGTGTCCTGCATGCTGGCACACAGTCCTGCTGTCCCTGTCTCAATCACTCAGCGTTACCAACCCACCCTGTTTATGTCTATCCCTCTCCCAGGTCCACTTTGTCAACAATGAATGCAACTGGATCTCACTTGCATTTGAAAAGCTGACCTTCACCAGCCCTCATTCCCAGGAGAGGTTTCTCTACCCAAGGCATTTTGGCTTCAGTCATGTTTGCATCAACTGCATCAACTATACTGGGAATACTCCCCTGGAATTGCTGCAGTCCCTTTCTCCATCCACAGTGAATTCCATCTAAAGGACAGCGTGCTGAAATTGGTGAGTGACTGTGCTTTTCCAAGTGAGGTTTTCCCTATCAGCACAGTGACTTCTACTTCCACTGAGGCAGGGTTCAGAATCGAGGTGCAGAGGTTTTTCAGGGTGAGCCAGCATTGGATAATCTCTGCTTTTATGCATCAAAATGCAACAAAATGAGGAGGAAAAAAATCCCAAACTAGGTAATGGCAGAACAGGTGTTTAAGGGGAAGCTAAAGTGTAGGCAAAGACTGAACCTGCAGCCCTCAAATCTTTGTTCTACAAATGGATTTGCTCCTTTGACAGGCCAGATAACTGTGCTCTTAGATCAGCTCCTGATAGTTTCAAGGAAGGTGAATGCTCAAGCATGGGCCAGGTTGCTAAAACACAGTTTCATAATGAAAAATTTGGCTCACTGTAAGGAAGGTTTTAAAAGCCACCACAGAAATGCAATACACTAATGTGTTTATGAGATCTAATGCCATTCTTTGATACTATTTCCTTTGGATTTCCATGGAATAGTTAATGATTCTGCTTCCCTGTAAGTATCACTCTGCAGGAGGTTTACAGCAGGGTGTGTTTCTGAGTGTACATCAGGTAGAATTCAACTGTCTTAAGTGAATGGAGCCCCCTCCACCCCATGCAGCAATAGCAGAAGAGACTATGAGCCAGGTCTCTTCCCGATATTTGATTTCTGCTGTCACAAGAATATTGTGACAAATTTCTCCTGATCACATTAGAAGGAGCTCTCTTACTTAATTGCCTGCTGCTCTATTCCACCAGCATCCACTTTAATTTTTAATTGGGTCTAGCTCTGCTTTGCAGGCAAACTCACTGTAGCTATCACAGATTCTGAAGATTTTTTTCTTCTGTTGTTTGAGAGTGCGTCTGAGCTGCTGTTCATTAGCTGCTGTTCATTTGTTCATTAGCTGCTGTTGCATTTAAGCCCAGTATGTATTTTGAGCCTTGATGTATGTCCTCAGTATGTCCAGAATCCTAAGCCATCTCCAGGTCTTTGTTCTGCTCTCCTTCCTGAGACAGGCTAACCTGTGTGTGTTAGTGCCTGAGCTGCAGGCTTCACTGACTACCATTACATCACCTGCTCTGGAAGGCTGGCAGAGGCAGTGCAGGAGTGAAGGGAGCTGATTTAAGCTTGTGCAGAAATGCCAGCTGCAGAACAGGTCCTGTTCTTGTGGCAATACAGAAGCCAGGAAGAAGAAAGTTTGCACAATTCAGAGACCACAAAATGTGTACTCAAGGCTTGTGTTCTCATCCACAAAGCAATAAAAGAGGCAATGAACTAAGTGCCTTTGTTCTCAAGGGAGAGAAGTGCACTGCAGCGAGGACCCCTTCAAGCTCTATTGTGATGCAGTTGCTTTGCTTGTGTCAGATTCACCACCTGTGTTGGTCAGTGGAAACATCCCAGTCAGGAACAGCCACTTACTCATGACATTCCTTATTGTAATACACATTATTCCCCCTCTGTATTTTGACAGATGCCATTCCATTTTTGTTAAACAGAAACATCCTTTACAACTGCAAGGTTATCTCCTAACAACATGATGCCACTACAGCCAACCTTAGAACTTTACCTCTTGCTCTCAGCCCACTGGGGAGGAAAGGGAAGCATAGGAAAGTGTAAAACCTTCCTCCCATATATGACATATAGTTAAGTAATTTGCTTGTTAAAGTCTTCTGCAGTTTTAGAAATTGCCATATAATAACACAATTCACAGCTGTGCTACTTAAGGATTTTTACCAGTTTGTTTCTGAATGTGCAATGGGCTGCTTCTTTTCAGGCAGTTTTATTGTTGCAGATACACCGAATTTATCATAGCAAGCCAGGTTGGAAGGTACCTCAAGGATTATTTGATCCAAACTTTCAAAAGCACAGGCCAGATCTTACAGCAGGTCTGAATTTCAGTTACCATTTAAAAAGACTAAAGCCCGTAAGAAAAAAGGGTGAAAGCTCAGGGAGAAAAAAGGGTGAAAGAGCTTAACTTTCTACCTGCAGAGTGCCAAACAGGAATCTCAGGGGACTGAGACAACTCTTGGCTGCATCATTTCTTTCAGGGAGCTAGAATAAGGAAAGTGAACCAGTTCACAAAGAAAATAAAGTTACTGGACTCCTTACCTCTTTCTCTCATAAAGTTTTTCTCAGCTTCTGGGATCAGGAAATTATAAACCAGCTCTGCTACAATCTCTTCTGACTGTAGGCGAGTTCGACTACAGGACAGATGCACAGTGGTATTAGTATTTTAATTTTCTCTCCAGACCACCTCTGCAAAAACAGGTCTCCCTTGTAAGTACTCTTTCCAAGGGTATTGTCATGGTAGCAGTTGTCAGTGGGGTCTCTCTTTATCCTACAAATAGGTGACAGTGTGAGTGTTCCCCTTTGCACTGCCAGTGTGTTCACAGTGCACTGGAAAGCAGGAACCCCTATCATTCCTTATCCTCAAAGGTACTTGGAAGCTCAGTTCCCTCTGATGACAAACTGAATTAGGCACACAGATATCGCTGAGGGTTTGTGTCTTTGTCCATTTAGTCTTTGGTCCATTGCTGAGTTTGCTAAATTCTTCCCTTTTGTGACTCTGCACTAGGCTGGCCCCGTGCTCTTTTCCATGCCAGTGTTTGGTGGGTTCCCAGCTGGCTCAGGGGCTGCATGCATTATCTACGCTTCATTCCCCAAAGGATTCCAACATTCTGCTTGTATTCATCTAGATACAAAATACACAGCTGCTCTGCCATAGGAGAGTCACTGTGTCATTGGGATTTTTATGGCTCAATACCAAAAACAGAGCATAGAAACTGAACTGGGGGTTTGGCAGGTCCTAAGAAGTATTCACTGCTGATGCCCCAGCCAAACACAGACTGGGGTGTTCTCAACAACTTACTTTACTCAAAGTGCCTTGTCAGGCAGCCAGCAATATGAGTGACCTCCATGGAAATTGGCAGTTCCTTAAAGAACAGCCACCCCAGAATGAAAGGCTGTGTATAGCTGTATCTTTTAGGATCTCTTTCAAATGGATTTTCTGTAGCAGTGTAAATAAATGAAAAGATCGGTATGAATGGGTATTGCTTTAGGCAGTTCCCAGATTCACTTAAAGCTCAGTCACAGCCTCATACTGGTGTGGAGAAATCTAAAAAGGGTGATTCACAGATCACACAAGTGATTTGCAAAGGGAACCTGGCACACACTGTATGGAAATAAGGCTCTGATGGATTTATATGTGTGTAGCAGATAGGAGCAGCGTGGTTGCCATACAGCAGCCACACTAATGAAGTGACCACGAGCAGCACAGCTCTGCCCTTCCCATGGCCTGGGTGATGCACACAGCCACAGATGCACATGGTCAGGCAGGTTCTAAGCTGCTGTGAACAGCCCCTCACGTGCTGTTTAATAACCTACCGACTCTCCACTTCGTAAGCAATGTCATTGATTTCTACAGCCCTTTTCTGAACCTCTTCCCTGGCTTGCTCTTCAGCTGTCCTCTCCATGCTACTCAGGATAACATCTTCCAAGTAGGTGTCAATAGTTCTGTCCTGAACATCCACCACCTAGAACAAAACACCAAGATATTGTTCCTCTGCCTATTGCTGTGCCAGGAACATAGTGGAAGATTTCCAAAGAAGCGTAAACAACAGATTTTCACAAGACTCTTTGTTTTGGGCAGGCCAACCTGAGATTTGTTTTCAGAGATGCTTTCTGTAAAAATTTATTATCTAGTAATTCTTTCTGAGAACTGATTGAACAAGTGCAGGTGAAAGAAAACCAATTCACAGATCCAATTCTGGTGCAGCAGGTTAGTCCTGTGAATGCAATGGCAGTTGCTCCCTCTGTTCTCATGGTCCCCTGAGCAACAATTGCCCAGTAATAATCATGGATATTGACTTCAGTAAATAAATCAGCTTTCATTCAAGCAAACCCTGAAGGAGAAAATTCCATCAAGCTAGTCAAAAACCAAGATAAAATTATTGGTTTCTTTATAATGGTTGTAGAGCTGAGATTCTAGAAATGGGTGTTTTCCATCTGCTAATCTGCAGGGCATAAGCTTATGGCACCTTGGCCTTACCTGCTTACCACTCAGAAATACATAAAAGATGAGAAGCTAAAATTTAAAAAAAAAATAAACATGGTGCCAGACCCTTTTGGTATTAACCACCTCCCACAAGGTTTGAAAATTATTGGTTTAGTCAATTAGACTCCCACTCATGTCTTTCAATGAGGAGAAATATGCTTCATGCAGTCAAAAGCTAGGAAGTAGGAACAGGACTATAGAATAGTTATGGAATATGGTAAATCAGTATTTTTTTTCTTGATTTCAAGGTTATTTTATTTATTATTGTTACTTCAAAATAAGTGTTTTATCTCTTGTTATTTGCAGTCCACTTTGGCCGAGGCAGGGAGGAGCAAAATCTTTCCAAACCCTTGCTTAAAGGCATCCTTCCTGGCAAAGCACATACCAGTTCTGCTGGGCAGAACAAGTGCTGACAAAACGTTATCCCTAGAGATGATCTAGGTACATCTGTTCTCCATAGGTGTTTACTGGAGAAATTTAGAAACCTACACCCATTCATGACAGGCCTAACAGGACTGTCTGTAGGGGTATTCAGATCATCCTCAGTTTAATGGGCATGACTCTCTCAGGAAGGGTTCAGCCTCTCTTCACTAAGCTTTCCCCCTCAATTTTAGAACTAGCCATCACCAAAGACAGCGCTGAAGCAGCTCCCATCCATCTGGACCTTCCCACAAGGAGGCAGCTCCTACAGACTGCCTCCAGTCCCTCTCTTGCCTGTCTGAAAAGCTCATCTTCCTCGTGCCGCCGGCTCTCCTCCAGCTGCCGCCGTCCGCTCTCCTCGGCTTCCCGCATCCTCCTCTGTCTCTCAGCCAGCATGAGCAGAGCATGGATCTTCTGCTCTTCTTGCAGCCTCACCAGCTCTTTGGCCAGAAAATCAAGCATGTTCGCCAGTGCCCTTCCTTCTACTGTGGCCAAGTCTCTTTCCAGTGCTGACAGCTTTCAAAAGAAAAATGCAAAGAATTGTGTTACAAACCCCAGGAATGTTGTACAAAGTCCCAGGACTACCACAGGCATGTGAGACAGCTCTGCAGCATCCACTCAGACCAGCCACGGGACAGTCCCAGGAGTCTGGCACTCTTCATGTGCTACATGCCCTGACTGGTTTCTACACAGTGCAACCATGAGTACCTGCAGCTTCAGGCATTGAACCTAAAACTGTACAAGTTACTAACTGCTGACAAATTCAAATTGACAGTAATTATAAGAAGTTTGCAGAAGTGCAAATGAGACCTCAAAATTCCGGGTAATGGAAAATCAGAAAGTCTGTGACAGAGTTGAGACAAGATTCCAGGTGTTCAGCATTACTGTGCCATTCACTCCTTGTTCCAGGCACATCCTGTTCTATGGGCTGGGTATGTGTGATTGCACTACAGAAAGAGACAAGATCTATGGGGAGTTCATTATCTCCAGAATGGACTCTGAAACCACAGGCCTTGGCAGGAGGGAATGTCTAGAACTGGCTGGGATGCTGTGTTCTGTTGAAATAAACAGGCAATTACAGAATAGACCTAAACATAAAAGTTGAAGTGGAGCTGAAATATCCCAGACAAGTAATAATAAATCAGCTTTGCTATACAGCTGTGCCATTTGCCCAGGCAGTGCTTCAAAGGAAGTGAGATTGTCAATGTTGCACAGATCTAGAAGTGACAGCACTTAGCCCACAGGTGTTTCAGATGGAAGATGGTGATGCAGTAACTGCACCACCCCACAGGAAGGGATAACATGGAACTAAAGTGCTCCCACCTCTTCATTGCTTCAGGTGCTGTATATAAAACTGGTGTAAAATGGAGGAAAACAACTCAGGAACACTCTTGTGTTAGATTTTTGTTATATATGAGTCCAAAATTTTCAGCTCCTCATCTTTGACTGTTTTATGTGGAGTTTCCATCCTCTTTAGGCAGGAAGCATTTATTTTACACTGAATTGGTCAAAAATGTGAAAAAACCTGTGACCACCAAACCCTATAGAACTGAGAGTCATCAGTGACTTTCTGAAATAGCCACACACATAGAAAACTACTGCACATGCATTCCAGAGAGTTTAGAAGTTCACAATGTTTGAAAACCTGAGCCCTGGACTGTGAACCTATAGAGACAGTTAAAAAAAAAGTGAGAGGAGGCCGATACCAGCAGAGGGGGATAGTGACACTCCAAAAGGGAAATTCCAAGATCAGAGGTCAGTGTCTTTACCATTAGCTCGCTCTCCTTCTCTAAGAATGTCATTATGCTGTTTGAACTGATTTCTCATTCGCTCTCACCTGGGCTACCAGAAGAAATGGAGCACTGCAAATTTCTAATACCTAAGGCTTTTATTTTTCTCTTAATTCCTCAGTAGAAATAATCTGTATTCCTGCATTCCACACCTGGACTTCCTGTGCATGAGGGAGTATCTGGAAATGCTAAATGGTAAATGATAAAACTCAATCACCTGGTTCAATTTTTACTGGGATCTAAGGGGAAATTTTGTTGCTGCCCAACCAGCAGGAAACAGTGGTCTGGCTTCATCTCCACCAGGTCAACTTGCCAGTGCATGCTGTTATTGTAAAATGGAAGCTGCCAAATTGCCTCACAGCTGGTCATTGAAAAAACAGCAGAGTAGTAAAAATTACAAGAAAACTTGCAGGAATGTGATAGATACTGCATTCTCTGAATTGTAGTAAACTCTGGGCAAAATTTCTTTATGACTCACTCCTGACCAGCATCTGTCATTTCATTCACTTTCCTCTGGAAGGTTGTGGCACTGCAAGGAAACAGGATGGAAATGTGCATCCCTGGCTCTCACTAGATCTTTGGCAGAGAATGGAGCCCAAAATTTCTTTGCTCTGCATACAGTGGCAGGTACCTCAATGTGTCACCATTGCTAAGGTTCTAGAAGTCTTGAGCCCAGCAGGATTTACAAAATAAGTTGGCTTTGGCTTCCTTTGTGAGGTTTTATGTGTGAGGAGGAGCCTGAGAGGGTGCCAAGCCAGAAAAGGGACAGGAAAGTGACAGAGCAGTAACAAACACTCAGGAAAACATCCAACAGATGTGAGTGACAAGCATGCATTGTGATACCAGGTCATAGTACCCGTCAAACGGATTGAAATGTGGGAAAACTGAGGGTCATCTGACACTGCTGTTTGTTCCAAGCCCTGTAAATATAAATAAGTGCTCTGTCTGCAAACAAAGCAAACACAGGCTGCATAGCAGCTGTGGTCAGGGTGCCTCAGTCTGTTTCTGAGATTCCCCAGAGCCTCCAGAGCAGTGAGAGAGCAATTTTAGCCCCTCAGGCATTCAGTGCTTGGCCTGTGCTACGAGAGCTTTATTGCTATTGGGATGCCTTCTGTGCTGTGGATAATAGAAAACATAAAAAATTAAATGTGAGAGTGTTGTGGTACTGCAAGCACAGAGTGTCTGGTCAGGACAGAGCTGTGAATCAACATTCCCATCTATGCAAGCAAACCTGCTTCATTTGTGAGTCATGCTGTCGCTGTAAGGACAGCGTCATTTGCTTCTGTGCCTTCAAGAGCAGCTGTCCATCCTCCTGGAGTGCGTGAGTGGTGCGCAGCTCTTGGATCAGATCCAGGTGCCTCTCCTTCCCTTCAAATATCTTTAAAATAAAGGTGAACCACTGAGCATATCAAATGGAGAATATAGAGCAACATGTTTTTGCCAGTAACACACATCCTTCTTCTCAAAGTTGCAAGGTCAGCTGTTACCAAGACCTCTCTGTAATAAATTTGTGGTTGCATTTAGGCAAACCCTACAGCTGTCAGGTAAAGCTGCTACTCTTTAATTTTTTTTTATTTTAGATTATTATTATTATTATTATTATTATTATTATTATTATTATTATTATTATTATTATGTTTGGCTTTACCCAAACTCAAACCACTGGAATGTTCTAATTTCCAGGGAACAACAACCTATGTCAAAAAGGTAATAGTCTTCTGCATACCCTGTTATATCAGCCTCAATGTCAAAGCTTTACAGTGTTTCAACACCTCATGTCCTCTGACCTTCATTTTGAGAGAGCCCAGCAACAGCCCAAAGCCATGAACTGGTGAGGAGGTTACTGAAACTGCTGCTATCCCTGTTATGGGGTTATGTGGCCCAGCCCACCCTGACACTGTTTTACTCTCAATCCCACTCTCTTCCAACTGGACTTCCAAGAGCAACAAAAGATCACTCAACCCTGCTTGGTCATTCTCCAACTCAGTAATGTATTTCTGATCCAGCAGCAGCTGGAAGAAGATTCCTAAAATGGTAGGACATTTCATGGTCTGAAAGTCAACAATCCTTCAGTGGCCTCAACCATCCTTCTCACAGATCATCACACAACTGGAGAACACTTGGGAACTCTATATTCCACCTCTAGCCACTTCCACAATACTGTATTGTTTGCTAAAGCTCAGGGTCCTGCATGACAACACTAAAAAACATTAAATAGTTACTTTAAGAGATAGCATCAACTGTACTTTTTGGGGACACAAAAACAAACCTTCAGGACTGGTCTGATCACAAGTGACAGACTTGCTTAATATAAAGCCCACAAGGCATGGCTACTGAATTAATTTTTAGTTAGACCCCCTTCTGCTCCCCTGAAAGCAGAATGATGTGTCCTACACATCACAATGGTAGGCTTCAGTTGCTCCTCATCTGGGGTCCAGCTCACTACCAGTGGAAACCAGAAAGATGGTATGAAATACAAGCTACCCTGCTGGGAAGTGGGAGGTTTCTTGTGCCTAGAACCTTGGCATAATCATGGCAGAATGTACTCATGGTCCAGATCCAGTCTAGAATTTGCCATTTGAGTAACTCTGCTGTGAAGAGCCTCACTATCCCTGCTTAGTGCTGTGGAAGAAAGATTGCAAACACCCTTTGCAATCAGTCATTCCCACCATCATTCTGAAGACTGACATAAACAAGAAGACACAATACCATGTTCTGAAGAGCCCTGCCTCGGAGCAACTTCTGCAGACAGATCACTGCCAGGTCTATTTCCTCTTCCTCCTGCCAAAACATGACAAATATCCACAAAATAATCAGCTATTTCTTTGGAGACTGGGATTTCTGTAGATTATCTGTCTAACTGTTAAACAGTCTAACTCATATCCTGTCTTTCCTTTGTTGTTTCTGAACACCATTCTTTTAATTTCCAGGGAAAGGAAGGTGAGTCAGAATAACATGTACTTTCATGTTTTACAAGGGATGGAGAAGAAAGATTGTATAATTAGATTCTATTTGAAATTTTAGAGGGTCTTTAGAGATGAGAACCTAATGATAAGGAGATGTTGATGGAGAAAATTACTGTATGCATTTTAAGTACTATTTGTAGCTTGACTGAATCTAAGTTTGCAAAAAAAGCATCAGCTACATTAATTTAACAAGTCAAGAGACAACTAACTAAGAGAACAGAATATGTCCAAGAGAGCTGTTAACCATAAAAAAGGGTTTTAAATTAAAAGGGAACATTTACAATTTTTCTTTTGATATTTATTCCAGTGGTGATATTTATCAGAGTAACTCAGTAAATTTAAGACTCAGAAAGTAATAATTTGGAAGCAAAATTAACCACAGTCCATTGTGATTTGTCTCTTTAAGAGCTTTCCTGGCCTAGCGTTGTGTGATTGATAACAACTTGGAAGAATGATGGAGCATGGTGGGAAAGGGAACATGACCACTGAAGGTAAAAAAAAAGGGGCTTATTTTTAATAGAGGAAGTAGACAAAGCACAGATGGCAGCACTTTTTCTAGGTGAGGGGTTTTCTAGTGGAGTTGACAGTGGGAAAAGGAAAAAGTTCATTGGGCGCCTGGGAAAAATAAAAAGAAATCTTAGAACTGGAAGCATGTTTTTTTTAATAAAGAACCTATGAGGTCTGCATTGACATGTGGTATTTAAGAAGTGCTGGAAAAACAGGGAAGAGTGTGGGATGAGAGAAGTTGTGTGGGCTTGACTCTTAGTTATCTGTTTTTTCTTAGGTGTTGAAGATTAAGTTTTCCAAATGCAAAAGGAAGCATTCCTGCCTTTCCACACCAGCACTCAGGAGGAGGAAAGCAGAACTAGCGAGAGGACTTGTGATTTGGTATGTTCTTCTTCTCTGGAAAGAAGGAATGAATTTCCAGTCCTAGAGAGCTAAACTCTACCACATTACCTGGCTACAGTGTGAAATCCCTTCAGGACAGTTTTGGAGATGGTGATGGCACACATACTGGTAAGCCAAACTCCTTGGTGTGACACTAACTAAGATTAGGTTTGGATTTTTATGAGGAGCATTTTTCTGTACTTCTGTTTTTGAATGCTGCAAAGGATGCCTTAGCAAGTATAATCATCAGCTTGTCCATCTGCCTGCTACAGACCAGCAGGAAAGAAAGAGGGGAGATGAAAAGCCTATCATGCCCTGCAGAAAAAAAAGAAAAAATAAGGATATAGAAGAATCTATGAGATGGCTGCAAACTAGAGGAGGCTGGAAGAAAGTTTTAAAGTAATGAAGGAATTCAGAGGTGCTCTGTGAGCTTGTTGTGGCTAGTAAGTCCATTAGAAATGACCAGGGAGAGAAGCTGTGGATGCTTGCAGCCTCCATTCTCTCCATTTCATCCTGGCACAGTTTCTTTCCAAGATCCTCAGTTCCAGTGAGAAGCATTTAGCAGTTGGTACTTGTATGGGTGTGTGGCAGGAAGAGAAACATTAACAACACAGAAGAGCCTTGTTTGTAGTGCTCCTCACAGCCACCTGGTAGGAGAAACCTTACTTGGATTTGGCAAGGCAGGAGATGTTAGTGCTGCTCTTCAGTGGCTCAAGTGGCCTCATTTTACAGATGGAGCTTCACTGGAGAGCTCCATCTTTTATGTGTTCACACATAAAAATTCTTGAAAATAAACCAAATGTTGACAAAATTCATGAAGATGGAATTCTACTGTATTTGAATTTAAAAAAAAACCACCCAACTATAATCTGTGACCACACTCAAGAATGACTAAAAGTGGTAGAAAAATTTTTCTGATTTCTTTACATGTTACCTCAAAGTACTTAAAAATCTGCCAAACTGGTAAGCCTAAACAGTGTAAACCCACCACTGCAATACAGTATCTAATGCTTAGAAGTTGGTAAAGCTGTGAAAAGCTCTCCCCAAGGAGATAAAAAATTCTTGTTCCAGTCATCTTAAAATAGACTGCATAAAACATAGAATATCATACTGCACAAAGGAACACAGCAGCATGGATGATTTAATAAGACTTTCTCTCTTCACTTCCATGGTTGTGTGGCTCTTAAATTCACAAGTTTAAATAGTAATTCTGTCTGATCCTTAGTACATCATGAAAATGGTGTTAGTAAGAAGACAAAACAGTCCACTGGGGCAACCAGCTCTTAAGTATGTTACTTTAACAAAGGAAAGGAAGTTGCAGCTCCCCTAAAAAGTAATTTTTTCCTACAGCATATCACAGCCCCCATGACACATCATTACTGCTGTTTCAATCTCTGCAGGAGAATCATTATCTGTGAACTAGTGCATGTTCATCAAACACTGCATCCTGCATGATGACAAGAGCTTCACTCCAGAAAATTAATGAAGTGCACGCTCAGTGCTAAGCAGCCAATATCTCTCTGACTTCAGTAAGTCTAAACTTAATTGCCTCACTGGATTATGATAGTGTTGTCAGATCAGAAGGTTGGAAACTACTGAATAATAATGACAATAATAATGATGATGAAGATGATGACAACTTTTTGTCCCCCAAGAACAAGGAAATAACATGTCTACTAATTTTTGTCTTTTTAAAATAAAGTTTACTTCAGGATTTGGCCAACAGATACTGTAAATTATTTTCAAATCTTTGGCTGCCAGTATCCTTATAGAATAGAGACCAAGAGAGTCTTAAAAAACAATAATGGCTATTTTTAACAGGGATGCACACCAAAAAAGATAAAACTCCCTTCTTTCATTCCCTGGGCATTCCTTTAACAACTGTGTAGGAAACAACCAGGGATCAAAAGGGAAAAAAGTGCTAAAACCAGCTCACTTACAATTGATGGTTTTTCCAGGATTAGAGTGGGTGGTTTAGGAACAGGGCTTTCTACTTTTTCACAGACAGGGGGAGGCTTCTTTGGCTCCTTGGCTTTTTTCTTCTCCAGAAGTGCCTGCAAAAGACATCCAATTTAATATGAATGTGGGTAGATAGAACAACATAACAAGGCCAGTCCTCTAGATGCTGACTACACTGACTACAGGGAGCTGAAAGCTTTGCAGGCTTGTGGCTTCTATTTCTTCCTGTAGATCAACTGTAAAACTGACCACAGTCAGTAGATGAGGTTATTGGTTGGTCAGAAGACATTGAAGGGAATGTCAAAAATCATATGTAAGAAGGAAGCAGGAGTTATTTTACTGTATTTACCAATAAGTCATCAGCACTTGTGAGTCACCTAAAATTAATCTAAAATGGGTATGAGCTTCATCTCTAATTCTCAAATAATTAATTTTCTAGGAATGATATAACTCTTTTCCTTTAATGATAGGTAATGCTTTTTGCTGTGGTTTAGAAATGTTGTGCATTTGGGAGGTTTTATGAAGGGGTCACTTGAAGAGGGTATTGTCACTGTTCTGTGACAGGAAAATGTCTTTGTATGATAAGATATTACTGCACAAGATTGAACCAAATGACCCCTTCCTAGCAAAATATGTTTTGGATTTCTGCTCTGCTCATTTACAACTGCCCAGCAGCCCCATGGAACCCACAGCAACTGCACAGGTGGCCTGGGGGCAAAAGAGAAACTGTCTTTTCCGAAAACTTCCTTCTACCAAGAAAATGCAAAAGCCCATTAAGTGTGGGTTTATCTTGCTTGCAGCAGATGCCACACTTTGTCAAGCACACTAGAGTGGAAGTGCTACCACATGCTCAGCTCTTTCAAGACCTTTTCAAAGTGTTTAAAAAGCCCAAGTCCTGCCAATTTCCCACACCAGCCCCTTAGAACTGGATATTCAGATAAGCGTTTCCAACTGCATGACAATGCTTGCCTGCTGCAGGACATGACACTTTGGCTTGCACAGAAAGGCAAGGGAGTATATCCACTTAAAGCTCCTTCAAAACTATAATCCTACTACTCTATGGTTGGCTCTTTAGCCTTATTATTGAAAGATCATATTTCAGCAAGGGAAAGTGTGCCTTTTCCTTTTTTCACTCTCTCTCTTTCAAATGTTCAAATACAGTATTTCACCAGGGAGGGAAATCGAAAGAGAAACTTAAGAAAAAAGTTCAATGCTGAATTTAGCTCTCCAGTAACAGGAAAATGATGGCATTTGCACAGAATTTAATTGTGAAATTAATGAAATTTTGAAACTCCAGTAGTCATTGTACAAAAACCCTTCTTGCATGTAGGATCTGATCTTTCAGGTCAGGATAATGAATTGCTCCAGAAAAGAGGTTTCTAGGTGGAGGGGATAAAATACTTTACTATTGAAAGCCTCTTAAATAGTCTGTGTTAATAATGGAAGAATCAGAGCCTATAAACTGCTTTTCAGCCATGTGAAATGGTTACAGCTCAAAAATGTTGAGAGATTTTCTGAACTGTGTTTTGTATGTGAAGACCTTAGAGCTCCCTAGCATGAAGATTATAACAGAGATTTATAAGGAGATTTGCATGGCAGGGCAAGGGAAGCAGAAAGAAAAAGCTGCTGAAGTTGTGACTCTCTTGAAAACAATGGCTACTATGTTTATTAGTACAATCTCACATTCATAAGAATTTTCCTAATAAAACTGTGGCCTCCAAAAATGTTTCCTGCTAACCAGAATAACAAAACATAACCAGACTAACAACTTTTAAAGACAGAAAAATCTATGATTAATTTGGGCAAGAGGGAATCCTTATTAATGCAGATTTGAGATATACTGCAGTTCTTAGAAGTGGCTTTATGTTTTCATGTCAACACTATCTAGTGCCTGCTTGACTATCTTTACTAAGTTAAAAAAAAAAAGCTTACTATTTGCTTTCTCTAATCTGATGCTTTAAATGATTTTAAGACTTTAACATAAGAAAAGAAAAAGAAAATATAGGGGGTTTGCCTAAACTGGTTCTGCCCAACTTAACAAGTTCTCATTTTTGTAAACAGAGACACCAGGACTCAAGAATCACTACAAAATTACTTGATTTTAAAAGATAAAAGTGCTAAATTTCTGAGCAACATACACCAAATGTTACTGTCTACATATCATACTCCAATTTTCCTGATACAGACTACATTCCTTTATTCAGGTAGCAGGTTCAGAGTCAAGGTAGGATCTGACTGGATTGGACAGTGGAAGAACAAAAGTCATCTCTTTTCCTGGCAAATTCAGTGAACAGCAAATTGTACTCATGCTTTTCACCATACACCTTGGCTTCTCAGCCTGCTTCTGAGAGAACCAGAACTCTTGACAGGGTAACAGCTTAAGAAGCAACTCTCCATTCAAAGAAATCATTCAATCCATTCTTTAGATTCCTCCATTATCTGCTCTGTGATCTTCTCCATTCCACAAGATCCTAGGTATATTTGATTTTTGTGTACAGCACAAAGTATGCAGTCATGGTTCTCCTTCCTCCTTGCTCACAAATGAAAATTGTGGGATTACAGAATCACAGAATCAATGAGGTTGGAAAAGATCTCTGAGACCATCGAGTTGAACCTATGACTGAACACCACCATGGCAAGTAGACCATGGCACTGAGTCTGTCTTTTTTTTCATGTCCAGTCTTTCTTTGAACACTGCCAGGGACCGTGACTCCACCACTTCCCTGAGAAGCCCATTCCAATGTCTAATCTGTGAAGAAATTCCTCCTAATTCCAATCTAAACCTCCCCTGGTGCAGTTTAAGACTGTGCCCTCTTGTCCTGTCACTGGTTGCCGGGGAGAAGAGGCCAACCTCCCCCTGGCTGCAGCCTCCTTTCAGGTAGGATCACTGAGGACAGGCTGCCAACCTGCTTAGCAATGAAGCCTGGCTGCTGCATCTCGGCTGATCAAGACTGACATAAAAGCTCTCAGAGCCTGTCTGAGCACGAGCCAACCAACCCTGTGTGGAGATCTGTTCTTGAAGAAATAACTGCTTTAACAGCCTTTCCTATGCTTTGAAGTTGGCAGAGATTTTCTCCAGAGACATTCTTGGCCCCTCTACTTCTCTACCTCTTTCCAGCAACCGGATGAAGGAAAAAAGACATGGTGAGAATTGCACGTAATGCTGAGGAGAGAAGTTTCTGGTTCTGACCTCATCTTGATACAACACTTTGAAACCACCTGATGCTGCATCCCTCTTGAGTCACCAGAGCATAGAGGGTCTGCCTAAAGTCATGTATTGTTCTGCACTGGGATGTCTTCTACCACCTCCTCCACTCCTTGGTGTATGTACTTACCTAGCTGCATTTATTCTCTGCAGTAGTTATCTGTATTGGATGTTATGTCCTTAATGCCTTGGATTTTCATTCTAGGCTGTCTATATAATGGCTCACTTGCACTCCTTAAAGTACTGTTAGTTGTGCTCTGGCTAGGAACTATCTTTCTCTGTCCTTTTACTGATCTGGCTTAAGATAAAGATTTTTGTTGTTACTGTAAATTTTGGGTCACTCCTGTTTCTGCCATGATTACTGAATGTACATAATGCTTCTGCAAAAGGTTTCAGGATGGTCCTAAAATAAGTTTACTTCTAAAATCACTTCTTTTGGCTTAGTTTTATGTCTGAAAGAAGCAGCTCTCATTCTTAGGAGAACTCAGATCCTTTTTGTAGTTACTTGGATTATTGCTTATCCCTTCTAAAAAGCATTAAGCTTAGGAATACCCTCAATATAACAAACAAAAAGGAATATAATGAGGAGAATTCATCCATCTTTCCTTGTGTTTGGCCAGAGAAGCAAGCCTTGACAATTTCCTTTATTAAAACTAATTACTTCTGAGGTCAGTATCTAGCATCCCTCCTATATTTGTCACTTGCTTCTAGATAATCCAGGAAAAATTTTAAAAACTCATTGTAGAGCTAGATCTCCGTGTACTCTGAATTTTCTAGGATTCCACTTTATTTCTAGGATTATGGGAGAGAATTTATGGATTAAGTGTGCTAGGAGAGTATTAAAATACAGCTTTAGAATAGAAAACTGATCTGGCTACTCAGCTATAGAGATAAAGCAAAGCAGCACAGTGCCCTTGTAAGATGATCCCCAATTACCTGCTTTAAACTTCTTTTCTACTGTGTGTGATGGGAGGTTTGTTGGCACAATTGGAACTGCTTATTCCAAGTGGTCAGAAAGCTCCTCTCAGGGAGGATTGTCCTAAATTCTGTTAATGCAAGTACTCTGCGTGCTTTACTGCTCTGTTTTTGACAGCTCCAGCAGCATTTGAGCTGGACCTGTCAGCAAGGCTCTGCTAAGCCAGAACATGCTATAGCCATTGAACTTCAGAAACAAAAGCCTCTGATGGGAGAAGTGACCAGGAACAGCAGCATAGAGCTCAAGAGATAATTGGGGCAGTCATTTCTTGATTCTCTGAACAGAAAGTGTGTTTAAATGTAACAGTGGAGGCAGTCTGGGTGTTTCACAGTGTCAGTACTTTCTGCTTGTCTGGACCAACCAGTCTGGTGTCTTTTTCTGTGTATCTAAAAGCAGCAGTTAATTTTTGCATAATTATAAAATAATTATGCAAAATTTAATTATAAAAATTATAAAATTAATTTATAATTTTTGTCTGCAAAGGAAACAGTTTGTGATTTAAAGAGAATATGCATTTGGCATTTTTGTGGTGGGGAAATGAGTACTACTTATGTTAACCTCTCAGTTGCTATAACTCAATGCAGACCAAGGGATCTACACTGATTTAAGAAAGAAAATGTGCAGCATTGTCTGCATTTGTTCTGCATTCCATCTTCCTTTGTCCACCAGTTTTTCTTTGAAGAGACATAATTGTGTGAGCAGCCAGCATTTGGCTGCTCACACTTCTTCTCTGTGGCTACAGTTTAGACACTTCACCACAGTCTTTCAAACAATGAGTATTTTAAACCATCAGAATACAAGTGCTGTAACTGGAATTCAGCTCCAAAAGCTTGGACTAACATTCTGCTGACAATGAGAACCGTGTGATGATGCAGATTACACAATTACTTCTTGAATTTAATGCATACCCACCCAAACTCAAATTTCTTCAACACTTCTGTGTCTTTAAAACTACGAGTTTTGTCCTTACTCTTGAACAATTCCTGTAGCACTCAAGATTTTTTTTGGAAAGTTTCTTTCTGGATAATAATGAAATGCATTTCTTCATCTTTACAAGATCCAGCAGAATTTAAATTTGAGATAATTTGATTGATTTTTCAGACCAAGATTTCAATTTAAAATTTAGCAATAGCAGATTACTGTCTGCTTTGACATTATTATTGCATTACACTAAAACAAAAGAAGTGTGTGTATATATATATATAAATGTAAGTGAAACTTGCCAAACTTTACAAATGAGAGTCACTATTTTCCAAAGATACAGAAGCCAGCCAAGAATATTCCTAATTTTACATGAAGGTAACCCTCAACAGCATCACAAGAAGTGTACTTAAAAGTACATGTAATTTACAAATATTGTGATTGCAGATGCAAATGAGGCACTTCTTTCTTTGGTGGTTAATTGCATATATGGACACCTCATCTGCATGAACAGTTGTGATAAATTAAGATATGCAAAATGCTATTAGCATGTTTGCAAATCAGATGCTGTTCTTAGGGAGCAACAGTGATATACATCCACCATGGTGACCTGATTTTATGAGTGGGGTCATTTTAATCATGCTTTGCTACAGATGCTTTTACAATGTGTACTTAAAATGTACTTTTAAAATAATGTACAAAATTTTTAGAATATTAATCCAGATTCTCTTTCTTTAATTATTGGAAGCTTGACAGTATAGCCAGTAGTGTATTATAAAATGGAGCAATGAGAATGAGAAAAGGGTGAGAATTTCAAATTGACATAATATGTTCCAATCCAAATACCTGATCTGTAGGAAGACAGATTTGTTTGTGCTTGTTGTCTATAGGATTGGAGCAGAAGCAGGAGTGAGAGTACTGATGGGCTGAGTATCAGAGCAGTACTGGTCAAGCTTGCAACAGTCTGCATGTTTGATTCATTCTGTCTTAGAAGCTGTTTTACAGAATAAGAATTCAGTACAAAAATTGGGAAGAAGCTTACACATCTTCCTAATTGCAATTATGAGCAGTTCAAATCTAAGAGGAACTGACATGCTGCTGGACGCAGCTTCATACCTGGTGAACTTGTGCCAGGACTACCTCTAGTCTTCCTGACCTTTTAATATAGCCAGTCTTAGTGATAATGCATTTAGGTTTTGGAGCTTTAATCTTGATCGGGAAGATAGAAGGCGGGGCAGATTTTTCCAGTTCACACAATCCTAAGATTATAATATGAAGAAAGATTATAATATATACAAGGATTTCAATACAAACAATGGTTAAGTAGTGGAGTGATGGGGAGGGAAACTTGAATTTTGGCAATATCTCAAGTAAGTACCTCCCACAACTAAGTGTTTCCAAAATGCCTTACCTGCAAAGGTGTTAAGATAGTAGTTTTTTACTGCATAGTAGTCAGAATTGTTGTCTGGGAAAAAACCAATTCGAGACAAAGGAGCGTATGTTTGTGATGCAAAGTCATTATACTCTCTGATGATATCTCGTCTCTCCAGCTTTCCCATCCAATTCTTCCTCTTAGCTATCAGTTTCCTGAGCACTGAAAAGGAAATACAAATGTGAGACAGTTCACACAAATAGTTCTATAAAAGCTGTGTCTTTGTAAATTCACAAGAGCTTTTGCTAGATAAAATAAAAACATGACAAACCAAATGCTGGCCATGCACATTGATATTGTGGATACAACCTATTTCATTTTGAATAGATGGTAACCTTGTGAAAATGGAAATGGCTTGTCTGAAAACTGTCTCATACCCTTCTCTTCCTGTCTTTCAGACTTACTCAATGCACAGTCATGCTGAATCTTTCTCATTTTCTCTTCTTTAGCCTTCTGATGATTTTCCCAGTGGTCGTTCAAGCGCATGGCATTCAGCTCATTCCGATTCTCCTCTCGCCTCTGCAGCAGCTTCTTAAAGACTTCCATTTGAACCTTCTGCAACCTGCAAGGAAAGAAAAGGTCAGGCAGTATCAAGTGTACTCTGCAGTGTTCTGTGCAATGCTGTCATCATCAAATCCTACATACCTTTACAAATAGCTCATATTGCATTTCTCATATTCAGTCTTTCATTTTAAAAAGGGAGTTAAGCAGTGGTAAAATATATTGTGGTAGCAGACCTGGAGACTAAATTTAAGAAAAACATCCCTTCCCAAAATCAGGGTATTTTCACAGAATTAAAAGGCTTGTTGTACCCTTCAGTCAATCTACTAAACCTTCTTGCTCCTCCTCTACTCAGCAAATAATTAAAAGAAATAAAAGAGCATAAGTGGACTCCTACTTATCTATTTCCTCTTCTCTATAGGCCCACTCCTTCCTTTCCATAGCCTCCATCATCTTCAACCTCTTTGCGATGTTTGAGGGACTGTCCATGGGTGGCAGGGCTGCTTCCCAAGCACGTTTTTCCCGGATGCGGTCAATAATCTCCATCTCAGCTTGTCCTGCTGGCAGCCCCCGACCTTACAGGGACAAGAAGCATTAGCTCTTTGAGAGATTGGCAAATCCTACAAATAGACACCACCAAAAAGGGCTGTATGGGTACAGAACCATGTAGTAAACACAAGCAGAACTGTCAAAAGCCAGAAGTAAATACTTCTAAGACCAGCGAGATTCTACAGTATGAGGTGTGGTAGGAGCTGCAGTTGCTACAGTTCAGTGCCCACTAACACTGGCACTTCATTCTTCTACTGCAGGCTGCAAAGGGAGAAAAGCTTCTCTAGGAAGATACTTTCTGAGAATGAGGACTTTCTTTGGCATGTGCCATGTCCATCATCATTACAGGTGAGACACTGGGAGATGAGGATCACAGGTATGTTCTGGGGCATCAGTCTTCATACTGTATTTTTGTAATGATGTTCAAAACTCAGAGCAGCTGAAGAACAGTGGGTTAATGGAAAAACTGCTCCTAGTTCCCATTTGTGAAACATGATCTTTTTATATTGAATGGTCTTCAAAGCCCTTCATGAAATGCCCCAGAACCATTAAGTAGTGAAATATCATACTTATTTTAGAAACAGACAAAATAATCGCCCCAAATGCACACAAAGAAAAAGGCCACCAAAACTGGCAATAGCCTGACATTGAAAAGAAAAGAACTTCCTGCTAGAGGTGACATGATTATTTTAAATTATCTTAATTTCACAACTCACCCCAAGTGAGTGTAGCAAGTGTCAGAATTTCAGGGACTGAGCCACTGCGGACTATATATTCAGGGGAATAGGGATCTGTCTGTGCTTCACCATCCCTGTAATCTGTCTGTGTCCCCAGGGTTCGGAACATGAGGCTGAGGACCAGGCTGTCCCCTGCATCCTCTGCATCCCTTGCAGCTGACAGGATACGTGACTCTGTCCTAGAAAGAGGTGCAAGATGGAAGATTGGTCACATTCATTAAAAAAACCTCCAAGCAAACAAACCAGAAACATGTCAGTCAAAGGTAGGAGTCTTAAATGTGTTTTGGTTTATCTTAACATTACTCTTGTTGATGTTAACTCTGTTATGTTTGGTAAAAGCAGACTGAGGCTACACTGAGTCTGAAATACCCTTCTTAAGTAAATAATCCAGGAATCTTCTAGTTTCAGCTCTCATGATTATTACATACAAATCTTCCCTACCAATCCATTCTAAAGCATTGCATTTAATGGACACAAAATTCTTGAAATAACATGAAGTAGGACTGCTTCAATTTAGTTTACATGTTTCTCTTCCCAACAATTCCAGAATAAAAATTTAATTCTGATATAAGCGTGTGCAATTTCCATTAACCCTACCAGGAAGTGAATATTATTATGTGACCTCAAAATTTGATACTCTCTGAAAACCACATTAGACTACATTACTGATGCTCTACATCTCTGAGCAGCACTGCATCTATCAGAGATTAATAAAATATAAATAATAAAATATCAGTAATATAAGTATAAAAATATAAGTAATAAAATATCAGAAGACTTTCCAACAATAGTGCTCTACTAGAGAATCTTTGCAATGGTATCTCTTCTAGAATTCAGAGACACCAAGCTTTCTATTTCAAATGTCATAGTCTTAACACACTAGAGGCACATCCTTTATTCACAAAGAACTACTTATATACTGCAAGAAAATTCTGAAACAGTCCCTTATCTATTTCCTCTAGAATTCTCAATGATGAGAGCAGCACCTTACTTCTTAACAAGCTTTTCCTGTTGGTTCATTATGAAAAATAGTGGTCACCAGCTAAATAGTTTCCTGATCTTTTTCTGGTGAGATGTTACCCATTATAACAGTAATTTTCCAAAAGTCTTACTACTTACTCTTTCTTTGCATCAGCAACAGGTTCTGGAACACCTGCTGGAAGCAGCTTAGAAAAGCTGAGAGGTCTGAAGAGAGAGAATGAAAGTAAGACAACAAGGAGGAGCCTAAAAGATCAGTATGGTTCAGAAAAAATGCAGTCCACTAAATTCAGTGGAGTTAATACTGATTTTCCACAACTGTGGTTCTGTTAGTTGCATGTTTAAGAACTGTGCCTAAATATTAAAGAACTCTTTCATAGCCAAGGAGGAACAGAGTTTACAGTTTCACCAATAAACACCAGGACTGAGTGTTATTCTTGTAAGTCAAAGCAGAAAGTGGAGTTGCAAAACAAGACAATCACTGAAGTTAGTTTTGAGTGTGTTCCCAATATGTTGTGTATGTTTCACTAAGTATCTTACTTTTTTTACTTCACTTTCACTTTTTTGAAAGAGTGGTGGTTTTTTTTAATAACTGCTTGAAATCCTGAAATTCATTCCTACAATTAGCTGATAAGCTGGTTTGGATTTATCTAATTTTATTGTTTTATTTTTTGCAGTACTTTATGAAGTATCTTGAAAGTGGTTTGGGCTCAACTACATATTAATAATTCCTTCCTAGGCATTCTTATAGTTTTCATATTGCAGTTCTCTGTCAATTTCCCTTAGCCTTTGGGAGACTTTGAAGCTTAATTTCACATTGCAGAAGATAACATCATCTTTGTTCTTTTAAAACTGTTGATAAAGGAGCAATAATAAACTTCAACTTATTAAACTTTGCAATTTTTTTATATTTAAAGTGGATATAGTGGCTAATAGCTGCTGAGTAAAATAGTGAATGCAATTCAAAGTGTATGTGACTAAGCCAAGAATGCTTGTATGCTAGCTGTTGGTTCAGATCTTGAGTCCATTGCTGACCTGCAATGTCCTTGTGGAAGGAGCAGAGCAGTCCTGCAATAGGGGACATGGATGAAAAGTTAATCAAGGCTTCCCTTTGCTCCCTTTCTGCTCCTGGAAGAAACTGGGAGTTAAAGGGTTCCTTCTAGAGAAAACACCTTTCTAGGGGTCTGGAGAACCACCCTGCCTTTATAAATATCTTCTTCCTCTGCAGGATGATCTACAGCCCAAACTTTCTTATTAAGTACAGAATGTCTGATATATTTGCTTATATGGTAACTCATAAACAAAAATTCTGTCATAGTGTGAATTTAGAAAGACCTTGTATTTTAAGACCTGGTTACTGTTAAAATTTTCTATTTTATCAAAGTACTGACAGAAAATACAGAAAAAATAATGCTCTGGCCTTCACTTAAGTGCTCTTGAAAATGCACAGAAAGAAGCTGAACCCTGTTTCAAATCAGTTCATTCCTTACCGTGTAAAATATTTGTAGCGATTCCTTCCATTAACTTCAGGATCTTCATACACAACCCGAGGCAGCTGAAGAGAAGACTGACCTCTGAAAGCCAAAATACAGGACATCATTTAGAAAGTACATTCAGAGCAGTTATCTTTTTTCCTCATGCCTTTTTTTTTCTCTCTCTCCCCTCTGGTTGCACTATCCAACATGCACACTACAAATTTCCCCCAAGCCTCACACTTACACAAGCAATTATATTTTGGTTTCTTCACATTTACCTACATAGCAAAACAGTTTGACACTTTATTTCCCACTATGTGTGGTCAGGAAATGGTCTTTACTGCCTTTATTAAAACTTATGAGCTTGTTATGAAAAGCATTAACCACTTGTATATGCTTGACTTTGTAAAGGAAACCACTTTTATTGGAAGTGGGGGGAGCAGGCTTATTGTCTTAAGAGTGAAACAGTTTCCAAATATGTGTAAAGACAGAACGAGCAAAGGAGAATGCACTTTCTACCTTTGAAAAGTAGGTAAAGAGATTCTGAGCAAATGTTTAAAAATTTAGAATCAGCAATTTCAATTTGAGTTCTCCAGTAAAGGAGAAAAATTAGGACAATCATGGGAATGTTTCAAAATCTACGCTGGAACAACCATATCTTTTGCAAGAACATTTCTTTTTTTTTCCCATTTTGAATTTAAATTTTGCAGATGGTTTAAATTTTTCACTATAACATCTTGAAGAGTCTTCTTTAAGGCTTTGGAAGATCATATGGAAAACCTCATTAAGGCAGTCAGTGAGATAATGGGTAGAACTGAGAAATTTGAAAGTTATTAATCAGGATTGCTATTTGATTTAACAACTGCTTTATACTCCACTCTTGCTCTTCTCAACCTGCACAGTTGTTAAAGACAAAAAATAGAAGTTCTTCCCAGAGAAGTTGTGGATGCCCCATCCCTGGAAGTGTTTGAGACCACACTGGACAGAACTCTGAGTGAAAGGTATCCCTGCCCATAGCAAGGGGATTGGAACTACATGATCTTTAAGGTCTCTTCCACCCCAGGCCATTCTATGATGATTTTATTTCTTTGAGCTATGTATAATGCAAGTCTTAAAGGCCAGGTTTTCTATAAGACCATTTTTGGCAACTTGTATGAATTCTGACCTCAAGATGTATGGGCTTGTGGGTACTGGGGTTGGCTGCTGACGCCTGATTTTAATTACAAAGAAGTATTTACAGAGCTACAATTAACAATACCTAACATTGCTTGACAGCTGAGATCAAAACAGAGGATTACATGCTGAGACCTGTTGTCTTCCAAGCCCTCATCTAATTCCTGCAAACTGTGCTGTGGAATCTGGGGAGGCACAGTATGGCTACCTGCCACAGGAAAGCTTCGAGCGAGATGCTTCATTAACCTACCGTGACACGCAATTTACTGCCAAGGTAAGTTTAAAGTCATCTCTTCCCAAGGCTTTCAGTCACATCACATAAGAAAAGAGAAGGGAATATTTTGAGATGCAACGTTGTAACCTGATATACTTGCTCAGCACTAATCAACCTATTATTGTGAAGTTGTGTTTGTAATTCAAATGAGTTAATTGAGCTGATGGCTAGTTCCATTAGCTGACTCTTTACATATCAGACTGTTGCTCCATCCAGATGGATTTGTGTTTCATTCAGCACAGGTGGGCACTTATTCTTATGATCTAACTTTATTAGCATAAACCGTTCATCCTGTTATGGTATAGTTATAGGCACAATGGGAACCCAGGCAAATGGCCCTTTTTATTCCACAGATCCTGCCTCTTGCATGTCCTTGACTTATATTTGCTGACTTTGCTGAAATAAATGAGCATTTATTCCCAGTAACCTTGCAGAGGCAATGGAACTACTGAGAAGACAGCTGGGAAATATTCTGTCTTCTGTATCAGCAGCACTGTCAATCAGTGCAGGTTGAAACAGAGGGGATGTATTTCTCATTTTTTGTTAATTGCAAGACATTTTGCAAATACATGTTGTTGAAATGTAAATTAATTTTAAAGCAGTGCAGGTGTCAAGTTGTTACAGAATTGCAGGCAAAATATAATAAGTCACTGAGGTGTTCTTGCACTGGGGACAGTTTGAAACACTGAAAATAGTATTAAGAAAAAAATACTCCATTTTTTTTAATTATTATTATGGAAATGAGAAGAATATGTCCTTAAAACTGAACAAAACGAGGTGTGAAATCCACTGTATCACTCTTGAGCATCTCTGATTATTGTCTGGCATGTGGCAGAACTCGTTACCAGCAACCCCAGAGCAAACACCATCTGAAAAGTCCATGGTCTAAAGTCAGTTGTTTAAAGCAGAAAAAACCTTTGAAGACAAATCCTAGGCTGACGCCCACAGTTTTGAATGCAGCTACATGAGGAGTTAAAAAACCTGTAGTGTGGCAAAACACATAAACTTTTTTTTTAGTATCTGCTGAATTAGAACCCAAATCAAAATCAAAACCCAGACACCAGGAGACAGCTCAACTAAGAAACCCCTGCAGTAAAAATGTGGTGCCCTGGTTCAGGCCCCAAGGATCCTGGAAGGAGCAGCAAAAGCAACCTAACCAGCTGCAATTGCACGGGACTAAAATCAAAGAGCTCCCACTGAAGTAACACACATGAGTCACTGAAGTCTTCATAACTCATCTGATCTGTAAGAGATTGAAATAACTCTCTTCTTTTTTCATGGCAACCGCTGCAAAGCAGATAGCACAGGGATGAAGGAATGTGCAACATCCATCCTGTAAGAAACAGATGGGTAACCATACTCCACAACAGCTGCAATCTCTTAATTTCAAGGGAGATATAAGTAGGAGCAAATTGCAGTCATCTCCACTTCAGTGTGCATGGCTTTTTGTTGGTTTTGTTCATGTGTTTGTTTTAAATTGTCCAACCATAGAACACTTACACAGCAAGGCGCTGAAGAGCCTCCAGGCGCTGCTGAGCCCTCCATCTTCGACCAATGTATGCAGGGACTGGATCTTCACTCTTGAAACACAAACTGCAAGCTGGAAAATGAATCACTCCCGTAGCCATGCTTCAGAATATCGGTGCCTTCACCTAGCATTTGTGTGGACACAAAGAAGAGAGGCTCAATTTAGCCACTTCAAACAGCACTAAAGAGAGCAGAATTCCAGCCTGCTGTGATTTACAGGACTGCATATTTGGGATGGGGAAAGAAGGCGGCACACGTATGCTAATGATGTCAGCTAGTTAGATGGTTCTTCTCAAGATGTGGAGCATACCAGACTAGCAGCAGATGCACAGATTTGTCTTCTGGCTGTTTTCCAGTGCTAAACTTGTACTGAAAACCAAAAGGTCTAACGGTTTGTTACATAAAGAAGTCAGTGTGCAGTAACTGTGAATGTGCAGCAATGTGAACTTCTAGCACATTACCCCATGTAACTCCCTCCTATTTCTAGTGCTCTAGAAATTAAGTAACATATTCCACTTGCAGGGTAAAGTTACATTATTTTATACTGGAACAATTTTAGCATTTGTTAAAAATAACTCAGGGAGCTAGCATACAAAAATGATCACATTAAACATCTACACCCTTCCTCTTAAGGACTAATTTCCCTGGGTAGATATGCCTTAAATTGCTAAATTTATGGTTGCCAATAAATCTTTGCAATCATAAGTGATGTAGCTCTATTGGCTTGAGCTTCTGAACAGACTAAAATCAGAATTGAGTTGTGAATTGTCCCTTTCATTTCAGCAGATGCTAACTCAAATGCATACAGGTGACATTTCAGGAATACTCACCAGAATGTAAGACAGTGTCAGTTGATGAAGATCTAGGCACCCTACCATGAGTAGCTGCTTGCTGTGCACAAAATTGCACTTTTGGGCCATTTGTCTTCAAAAGGAGTTCAACTTTTGAGCGTTGGAATACCCTATGAACTAATACTATCACAACCTCTGTCCATCCCAAATTTTGAAGCTACAGATTAAGAATTCAAGGATGTAGTGTTTTGAATTGTACATTATACACTTGCTGATTGATTCTAAAACATTTTTCATGCAACAGTCTGCCACCACACCTATCTGCACCACTGACATGGCAACACACCTGTGACATGGCAACTTTAGTGACAGGATGCCTGTTTACTTCATCTGGCCTGAACTGTTGGCACAGCCATATTGTTGCAAGGGTCTCACTGATGACAGGCAATGTTCCCAGCTCTGTCTCTCTAAGGACAGGCAGACAAATACTTATTTGTTTTCATGTAGATATAAGAAATATTCTGAGATAATGTAGTAAGAGATATCCAGCAACATTCTTAAAAAAAAAATGCTCCTTGACTCCATTGTTAGAAAGCTGCTCAGGGCTTTTTTCCTTGCTGTACAGCAATGAAATCTGAGTTCAGAATATCTGTCTTGCAGCCCCAATCACATGCATAGCTTCAGGAGGACTCTGTTTAAAATCCAATTCATTGTGCAGTTGCACCAAGTCTGTTTTCCTCTGGCATTCTACCTGTATGCATCCTGTGCCGCTATCAATCACTGCTGTCTGAGGGTGTGACTGCAACCCCCAGAGACATGCCCTAGCTGCTTTTAAACTAGCTAAGGGCAATACTGACAGCTAAGCATGGGCTAGCTAGGTAAGGATTAGCTAGGAAGTTAAACTCTGCTAATTCTGTATGAAGAACCAGCATGGATTTGCAGTCTTTATTGGCTACTTAGATGTTGCTGGATATTTCATTTTAGTCTAAGTAGGCTACATGGATCTGTAGTGTAAGTATCTCCCAAGGTAAGTAAGGAACTGACAGCTCTGCTTGAACAACAGCTCAGCAGATGCCCACTTATTTTATTAGATCTAAGTAACATATACAAGCTATAATTAAAAGTATTTGAAGATAGACAATTAAAAATACTGACACACAGCTTAGGAAATGTCACAGAACATGAAGCTGGGTATTTCTAGACTGGTGCTATAGTCACCATAGGCCACCAATCATGGCTGCTCCCTGTGTTGTCTTGTTTTAGATAAAATATCTTTCTCTGCTTTGTATTTTGCTGTTCTAAGGGAGCAGCTTAGGACTGAGACAGAGTTTCTACCCATGTGTATGCAGAAATAGACAAGGTGAATATGTGAGCTGTCTTTGGCCAATACCTACCAGTCTATCACCAAGTTGAGTGTGGACATTTGACTTTGGAGGGTCCTTCTCACTTCACAGTGTGTACAGAGGGCCTGAAAGACAATTGAACAAACATAACTAGTTACATATTTGTGGAATCAGCATGAATCATGAGGCTCCACTTCCTTCTTTAAAAGTCTGTCTATAAGAGAGAGTATGAAACAAACTAGGAAGAAAGAACTGATATATATGTCTCTGTATCAAACAGATGTCACCATCATGCAAATGAGCCTCAGAGCTGAAATCCTACTGCTCTGTGGAAGATACAGGTGAAAAATCTAGTAGAAAAATCAGCTTTCTTTGGAGGCACCATCAACTTAAACAGAAACTGTGATGACATAAAACATTAAAAGGAAGGCATGGTGGAATGGTAATCAATGGAAATACCACACTGTACATGATGCTTCCCTCGGGGACACAGAGCTGGCTTTGCTCCAGCTAATGTTTCACGGTCCCAGCCTCGCCGGAGCCGCCAGCCCTATCGCTTGCCCGTAGCTCGGGCGGCACCCACCTCGTGCCGAGCTCGGCGAGGGCCCCGGGGCCCTGGGGCAGGGGGTCCCTGGAGCAGGGGGTCCCTGGGGCGGGGGAAGCCTCACGCCCTGTCCCGCCCAACTCCCGGCCTCCGCCCGCCCAAGGGCTCGGCTTGGCCGTACCGGGGCTGCAGCGGGGCCGGGCCGCGGGCAGGGCGCTGCCGTCTCGGCCGAGCCCGGTACCGAAGCAGCAGCCGGAGGTCCGGCCGGGAGCCCGTCCCCACCGAGCGGCTCTGGCCCGCTTGCCGTTCCCATGGCCACGGCGGGCGGGGCCGGAAATGTCCCACCCCTGCGGCCGGGCGTTGCTGCGGGCCGGACCCTGCCCTGCCCTGCCCTGCCCGCCCTGGGGGCGGCTGATCGTGACCCTGCCCTGCCCTACCCTGGGGGCGGCTGATCGTGACCCTGCCCGGCCCTGGGGGCGGCTGATCGTGACCCTGCCCTGCCCTGCCCTGCCCGGGCTGGCCCTGGGGACGGCTGATCGTGACTCTACCGGGGGCAAACACGCCCCTCGGGCTTCTGTCCTGCCGCTCCCGGCGTGCTGCTGCTTGTGCTCCCGCTCGGTCCAGCATCCCGCGGCCGCTCTCCGCAGAGCCCCAAGGCTTCGCCTTCCCGCCTCCATCTTGTGCCGCCTCCGGAGAGCGGCGCGGGCCTGGGGATGTGGCTGGACTCTGAGGAGGACACGGCACGGGCGAGGCCGGGAAAGGAAGGACACGTGTATTTCTGCTTTTCAG